ACACAGCCAACACTGACATACCCATTACCAACAACTATGAATTGGTCATCAGACAAATACATTGAAGATTTTCACACTTACAGTCAAAAGCCTAGAAGAATACAACTCCTGCACTCAAGTCCAGCTCAGAATGCTTGCCTAGCATACAAGAGGCCCTTGGGCTCAGGCCTTGGACCCTCGGGCCTGCAGTAAAACAGCAACAAAGTGGATTCTTCCTGCTCAGACTTGGCCATCCATCAGGGAAGCAGGAGCTACTTCTGGGGCTCCTGGCCCTCTCCACACCAGAACTCTGATAAAAAGGGCAGGTATTGGGGAGTCTACAGCCTAGACGACCAAGCCCAACAGGGGAGAAGACAACACATGGGGTATGGGTTATTTATATATATATCTATATATAGATATATATAGAGAGATTTTTTTGTCTTTTTGAGACAGGGTCTCCCTGTAGCCCCAGCTGTCCTGGAACTCACTATGTAGACCAGGCTGGCCTCGAACTCAGAGATCCGCCTGCCTCTGCCTCCCGAGTGCTGGGATTAAAGGTGTGTGTCACCACACCCGGCTTATATATATATTTTTATTTATTATTTTTATGTGTATGCATGTATTGCCTGCATGTAGGTTAAGTGCACCCGTGTCGTGCAATGCCTGTGGAGGACAGAAGAGGCTGCTGGATCTCTGGAACTGGAGTTACAGACAGTTGTTAGCTGCGATGTAGGTACCGGGATTCGAACCTGGGTCTTCTGTAAGAACAACCAGTGTTCTTAACTGCTGAGCCATCTCTCCAGCCCCAGTGTATGGGTTATTTTCAGGTTATTCTTTTTTTGCGATGGTGGTCTCACTCTGTTGTCCAGACTGGTCTTGAAATTCTAGGCTACAGTGATCTTGCCTCAGCTTTGGGAGTAGCTGGGCCTACAGGCACACATACCGTCTCAGGCTTTCTTTGGTTGTTTTGATTGTAAGGGGAAAACCATTCAGTTTACTAAATTAGCTGATTCAAGAAGAATCAGGACTGAGGAGATGGCTTGCTGTGCAAGTACAGGGACTTGGGTCTGGATCCCCAGCACCTACACAAAAGCCCAGTGTGGTGGTGTGTGCCTGTGATCCCACCACTAGGGTGGTAGATACAGAAGGATCCCTAGGGACTGCTGGTCAATCAGTCTAGGTGAATTGGTGATCTCCAGATTCAATGAGAGACTGTCTCCAAAACTAAAGAGTGGAGAGTGATTGATGAAGATACTTGATGTCAAACTCTGGCCTTCCCAGGCATGCACAAACATGTGCACCTGCACACACACATACAAATAAAATAAAAGTAAGAAAAAAGAAAACTGATGTCAGTAGGAGAGATGCAAAACTCAGCACCCGCTCATGATCTAGTTTGTCCCCGACAGGAATGGAGGGACATTGCCTAAGGAGAGCCTGTCACGACCCAGTGGCAAATGCAGCCTCCTTGCCCAGCTCAGTCCAGGATGCCCTACCCCCAGAGGCAGAGGGGGTGTGCACAGTAGAGGGCAGCCTCATGTTGGCTTTTTCCTGCCTCCTCACCAGCTCTTCACCTGAGAGGGGCCTGGTGCTGAAAACCAGGGCCCTCTGGGTCAGGAGTCAGTCCACACCCATCCCATCTACACCCAGAAACCTGTATAGCATTAAGGGAAAGACAGTCCAGCTGCTGAGAAATGATGAGAGAACCAGGACCAGGGCCCATCCTATGGGCTGTGCTCCTGGAGAAGAGGAGGACTTGCCAGGCCCTGCAGGGATGCAGGGAAAGTGCCAGGGCCCTGTGCTCCTGTGTGCCTCAGATATGGACAGCGGGGTGTACTGTACCCATGGTCCCACAGCAAACCTCATGTTCTGCTGTGGTATGCATGAGAACTCTTGGTGTGCAGAGAGCTGGACCTGCCATCTTCTAGCAAGCTCCCCAGGTAGTTCTGCTGCTGCCATTTAAATGGAAGCCTTTGGCAGAACTGGGCCAGGAGTAGAGGCCATGACCACAGCACAGCCAGGACTGCAGATGGACACAAGGCAGGAATGCTGGCTGAGCCCAACATGGGGAGAGCAGCAGGCTGCTCTGGCCCAGGGCTCTGGAGTGGGGGAGTCTCATTATTACTTAAAGACCGAAAATACTACTAGCTGTAAATCAGTCCCTGCTTCAAGGCTATGGGCCCTACCCTGTGTGGGAGGAAGGAGCAGGGCCTGTGTACCACCTGTATCTGACAAAAGCCCAGGCCCAAACCTGATGGCTCACAGCAGAGACACCTCAGGGAGGCAGGCATGGGCTCCAAGTGTCCCTGAAGCTCCCCAGGCACTGTCCTGAGCAGGCAGCCTACTGGTCATAGCTGCAGCCCCTCCTTGGTTGAGTCCCGGCTTGGGCCCAGGACCCTCCAGGAGGATCTCTGGCCACCAGTGGCTCTTACAGCCCATGACCTCAGGTGCCAAGAATGTGCAGCTCGGCACCATCTGGTTCTGATTACCCATGCTTGGCTGTGGGAGCCTCAGCTGGGGCTCTGTTCCCCGTGTGCCTGGGAGATTGATTTGGGATCCTCAGAGGTTTCAGCAGGACATAAGGAAGGCACGTCTGTGCCCATGTAGCTCTTGGGTCAAGACAGCAGCCATGTTGTAGTACTGTGGCATGAGTGAGGCTGCCATGGACTGGAGGCTGCATCACTCGTTCTCAGGTGTTAAGAATGATCTCAGATGGCTTGCCTTGGCAAATCACCAGGTTCCTCCATCCCAGAGGACTAGACTTTATAGAACCAAGATATCCAGGGTCTCTAGGGCCAGCAGCACTAGACTTGACTCTAGGTGAAGAAGCACTGGGCCTTCACCAGACCCATGAGTCATCCTCACCCTCCCAGCAGCAAGGCAAGCTCAGCAGGGGGCTGGGGCTCCCCACCTCCTTTGATGTGCACTGCTGAGCTGGGCCCTGCCTACCTCACCCCAACCACTTCCAGGCTGCAGTTCCTAGTTCCCCTTCTGCTTTAACTTTTCAATTCATTAATAGAGTAAAAGTTCATCTCTGGACTGGAACATGCTCATAAATTAAGCCTTAAGTTCCAGCAGCTGTTTCCCAAACATGCTGGGAGAGCCCAAGCAGATCTGGGCTGGAAGGGCTCCTTCCCGGGTGCAGAGCACAGGAGGCCTGGGTAAAAGCTGCACAGCTGCTTGGGTGTCAGCCCTCTGCATTCATGTTGATGAGAGTCAGGCCACAGAGGGGACGGACTCTGGACCCCATAGGGTGCTGCTGCTGCCCTTAACCAGGTTCCATAGGCGGAGGGAGTATGTGAAGGAGACCTCTCAAGCCTACCCGAAGGGCTCAGAATCTGAGTGAGGTAGAGGCTCAGGATATATAGACCTAGTGGTCTAAGCACTGTGGCTTTCCCACCTGCTCACATGCAGGCCATGGTTCTGAGGGCTTAGAGGGTCTCCTGCAGATAGAAGTACTAGAAGCCCTTCCCTTCAGAGCAGGGCATCCATGGGCCTCCTGGACACAGATGAAAGGAGAGATGAACGGACAGCCAGGAGGGTTTTACTCTGAATCCACTGTCTGCCCAGCATAGCTGGACCTTCATGGATAGTTAATGCTCAGAGGAGAGGTATGGCTGTGTTCCTGACTTAGTAGCAGGCCCCACTGCCCATCTTCCCTTCACTGGGTACCTCTGGTGGGGAGGCCAGATCATCCATATTGTCTCTGTTCCCTAGTAGGGTACTCCTGGGTCAGCCTCTACACAGCTACAGTCACTGTGCCCAAACCAGCATGTGCCATCTTTGTTGGGTACCTCTCTAGTTCTTCTCCATGTCAGTCTCCCTCTGGTCTAGGCCTTCTCCTTGACCTTCACTGTCCTTACTTGGTCCCTCTCCCAGAATGGACTCAAGATGAGGTCTTCATTTATACCCTGGGCTTCATTTATTCTCAGGGCCCTGGGTGCCACCCACACCAACCCAGCCCTGGCATTCCCTACCCATGCTTCAGGAACTCTCAGGCCTGGTCCTGATGTGCCCAAGCTGAGTGGCATCCCCAACTGCAAGGCCTGAGCTGGACTGTGAGCCCTCTGAAGCCTCCTGTTGGGTAGGGGCAGCCTGGACCACTATGCCCTCAGAGAATGACTAACATAGGTCCCAGCTCAGTCCTTGGTGCTCTGGGCCAATTCTAGTGAGGCTGGGAGCTGGGCTGTGGACACTGGATATACCATAGGACATAGAGCCACCCTGCCAAACCTGTTTCCACAGGACTGTTTCTGAAGTTTCCACTGGTTGGCCAAGTCTGTCTTCCCAGGCTCCTGATAACTGGCTGCTTTCCTCCAGAGTCAGTGTATACCCAGGCTCTCCTCTGAGGGCTTTGTGGTCTGTAGTCTGCCAGGCTTGCACCAAAACAAGTCCTAGACACATCTCATACCCTAATTCAACATAATCCCTCCATCCCAAATGGACAAATGAGCAGGCTGGGCCCTGTCCTGTACTCTGGTGCCATAGGCCCAGGCCTGGACAGGCAATACTGAAACCATACCATCAGGGATGATCCACGAGACAATGGGGGCGGGTGGTATCTCCAGCAGCCCCTGCTTAGCCAGTGCCTCACTGTGTGTCTGGGCAGGCTTTCCTGCTGCCTATGAACAGCCACCTCCCTAGGACCAGTTTGCAGACTGACACTAGGCTGTGGCTCTGCAGGGCTTTCCATCAGTGTTTTTTTCTTTCTTTCTTTGATTAATCAGTTCCTTACTGACCAAATTCCTCTGAGTTTTCACAAAGGGGTTTGGATCTGGCTGGATGCTACGTGCTTTTTTCTAGATGGACAAGACGTGACGGCTGTTAACCTGAGGTCCAGGAGAAACCCAAACCATGTGAATGGTGGCCCACGCCCACGCACCCTTCCTCTTGTACAGCCTCTGAGTGATTAATTAGTTAGGGAACTGCGGCCGCTCCTCTTCATGCCTAAATATTGTTTCGGCCTATCAGACTGTTAGTGCAGAGCAGGATAAATGAGCCCAAGCCTGTGCACTGACCTGCAGGGACTGCAGCCCGTCCAGGCTCCAGACAGCCAGTGCCTTCCCTGCGGAGCCTGAGACGCCCTTGGCCTTCTGAGAATCGAAGTCAAGGCCCATGACAGGTTCCTCGTGGCAGGCGATGCGGCTGCACACCTTCCGCTCCAAGATGTCCCACAGGGCTACTGATCCATCCTCATAGCCAGCCAGAAGGAGGGGGCGGGGACTGGAGTTAGCCTGTAGGAATAGCAGAGTGGTCAGCTCTGGAAGGGCCCTGCCTCCACTGAGTTTTGGGACTTGTAGGGACAGTTATCTCTTCTGCCATGCCCAGAAGGGGGGTGGTCCAGCCAGAGAGCAGTTCCTGTGCTTTCCATGTATATCCTAGCACCTCCCACACACCTCTTATGGGGATGGCAGGGCTGCTCAGTACCTGAGGACCTGAAGGGCATAGTCCAGAACAATCTAATTGAGCTCCCAGGCCTCACACAGTCACGGCTTTCCATCTACACTGGATCTTGTCCAAAGCAGGGGGTGGGGTAGAGATGATATGGCAGCCACTGGCCTCTAACTGGGCCTGCTAGGGACGTATCCTTCTTCTTCTTCCCTAGGTCTGAGGCTTGAAGCCAGTCCTTACTAAAGCTAGTCACCTGTCTAGAACCACCAGGCAGGAAAATGGCAAGCTCCATCTCAGTGAAAAATGGACTTTCTGGGCTTTGTCAATGTAGCTGCGGAAGCCCCCGCCCTTAGAAGCTTGGTGTGAGTGGTGCTCAGGAGGCCCTCGCTATCGTGATGGATGAGGGTGAGGGTCAGAGGGCTCTGCGCCCTGGGCAGACGCTCGTTTATTTAGCCTCTGAAACAACTACAGAAGAAGAGCGCTGCAGGATTCCAAGTCACCCTCAGGGACATGCCATCAGTCCCCACACTGCACAGCAGCCCAAGAGAAACTCCACATGGCTGAGCAAGGAGGCCTGAGCTAGCTGGAGGCTCAGGGCATGCATCTAACAAACAGCACAAGGACCAGGGCTCTCTGGGTCAAGACAGGCTACTCCTGGGGGTGTGGTGTGTTGTGAGCCTGGGGTAGGTGGACATGGTCCACTACAGACCAGCATCTAGAGGGATGGCCATAGCAAGGATAGGAGGATATTGTTACCAGGCTTGTCCACAGGCTCAGTGAATCTGCTAAGAACAGAGCTGGTAAAGAGGTAGCCTCTGCATGTCCCCAGAAATGGCTTATAAACTGTGTCGTAATAATTCAAATTTATACCTACAATATAAAAGGAATGAGGCTCCTGGGAGGAGGCATGAAGCTGCCTGTCTTACTGGGCGATTCATCGCTAGCATCACCTGGAGTCGTTCTCCCTTAAGATCAGAGCCCACTCTGTGTCCTTTGACCACAATCCCAAGAGGCCAGGCTGTTCCGCATCTGAGTGTGCCCAGTGCATGGCATACTGATCCAGTGCCTGGTATGTCAATCCAATGCCTGGCATGCTGGTTCTGCCTGGGCTCTAAAGTGGCTCTGGATGGGCTGCCACACTATTCCTGGATTTTGTCACAGGGATGAGCTCCTTGCTGGTGTTTCTCAGGTCATCTGCTTGGAAGTGGTTTGTGCAGATCCATGCTCTGAGCTGCTAAGCCCCTCCAGATAGGCTACCTGTGCAAGCAGCCATGAGTTGGGCCAGGGCAGGAACAGTGCCACGTGGGAGAACCCCAGAACTCTCTGTACCTCAACCATGAAAGCATACCAGTCCCTGCCACTCTTACTATCAGCCACAGCATGGCCCCAGAAGATAACTCAGGAGAATTGCCTCAGGCCACTTGGATCCACTCCCAAGCAGTACTCTGTGAATACCTACTCCAAACCCCATAGCTCTGGCTATGCTACCTCTCCTCCTGGGCCTGCTTTCCTTTTTTTTTTTTCCAGACAGGGAAACCATCAGCTAAACCAGCATGCATGAAGCCTATGACTCCTGAGTTCTGAGCAACATGGGTCATTCAGAAGCTAACATGAAGACCTCTCTGTTACGGTACCATAGGGTGGCCAGAACAGGAGTTAGACTAACCTAGAAGATTCATCTGGGTTTTCAACCCTGGCCTGTCACACCATAGCCCAGCACCAGACCGCTTCTCTCTGTTGCATCTACCCTGGTCCCTGTAGCCTTCCAGCCACAGGCACCACAGCCTGGACGGTACTCTTGAGGCCAGGAGGCCTCTGGTGGTCATACCCTTGATGCTGCAGGGCTGAGGATCTGAAGTCACCCTGCCTTGCTCTCTTTAGCAGTTCCCCTGCCCTCACCAGAGCCTTCAAGGATTGACTCTGCAGCCTCTCCTACCCTTTGAAGTATAGCCTAAGGGATGACAGCAGGCCAGGGGCCTATAAGAGCCCTAATTCTATGCACTACAACTCCACTGGAGAGGCCCTGAGACTCAGACAGGGAGCCTACTCTGAGGGTGGGTATTGAGGATGCTGGCTCAGGCCTGATTTACAGCCTGACCTGACCTGCAATAACTACTATAACAATGTAGTCAGCTACTTTGAGGAGCAAACTAAAGATGAACCTGAGTCTCAGGAAAAAATCAGGTCAGAACACCTTGCCACACCAAGATTAGTGAGTTCATATCTGAAGCTTTCCAGCTTGAGGAGAAAAAAAGGAGCATTCCTACATCTAGAGGCTTTTTGCAGCTAAGAGAGTCATGTTGGATCCATATCTCCAACAAAACTGTGATTTGTCCTTCTGTCAACTATATTAATTACCTTAACAAGTTTGTACATCCCTTTCTACACATTTTTCTGATGGAATTTTTACATGATTGTGCAATGACCCACACTTCCCAGGGAGCAGAACAGGAGTGGGTACAACCACAAGGTGCCTGTGCCAGGACCTGCGTGCATCATGGTCATTTCCTGTGATACTTTGGCGGGGGTAGGGTTAGGAGGTAGGATGAGGGAGGGTGCCTTTATCTTCCCAGGAAGTGCCTGGAAACTCTTGGCAAGTCCCATATGGACACACTTAGGCCAAAAACTAGGCTGTGTCTCTGAGTCAAGCTGCAAACCTCCCATCTCCAGAAGCTTCATCTCAGACGCCCTGCCTTGTCTCCCTCAGGCTTTTCTGCAGTAAGCTGCACAGCAGAGACAGCACCCTAGGATCAGCTTATTGAAGACCCCCAAATCCAATTTCACCCTCTCAGTCAAGGAATTCAGGGAAAGTCAATCACAGGGTGGGCCACACATCCTTCTGCCATGTAGACAGACAGAATCCTGGGGCAGGTACAGGGGTGCCCTTCCCATGTTTTTTGTGGGGCACACAGGCACTTTCAAAGTAGACAAGTCCATCTCATACAGCTCTTAGAAGAGTTCAAAGAGGCAGCAAGTCACAAGGCAGGAATCCCCTATAAGAACTAGGGGTCAAGAATGCCTTCCACATGGACACTACCCTGTCACCTGCCCACTGCTGTATATACTCGAGATGATGCTGGGCTGAGGCTTCTGGGATTCTTTGCAGATGAACACAGTAGATACAAGTAGCCTAGGAAGGGAAAGATGCTGAGCCTCTGCTGACCTGGAGGTGTAGCCAGAGAAGGGCCTCACCTTGAGAAGAGTTGGGCCTCTGTGGGGGTAATCCCCCCAAACCTCAGGCTTTGATGCCTACCTGGGTCCTAGTTTCTGTAGGAACCCTAAGGAGATACCTCCAGACCCTTCAACAGAAACAACAGTCAAGAAAAAAGGAAATGGCTGCAGGTAAGACCTTTCTGGAATGGTGGTAGGGAAAGTCATCGTGTTAAACCCACTCCTGCTGTGGGTGCTCCGGGGACCTCTGAGAGGTAAAGAAGTGCCAAAATGAATGCTCAGCACAGTGAGGTCCATCCATGAAGGCTGGCTGATGTTTGTCAGCACTTCCCTCAGCCTCAGCAGGGCCCAGGACTGGGGTGCTGAGGGGAGGGTGTGCATTCTCCTGGGAGCAGGCCCCACAGCTGACCTCTACCCTCCTCACAGCCACCATTCTCAAGGCACCTGTAGGGTGAGCCTGCCAGGGCCTGTGGAGGATGGGTACCGACACCTGGTTTCTTGGCCAAGTAATAATGGAACTCCTTCTAAGCTGTAGCAACAGCCCAGGGGAAGCAGAGGTCTAGGCGGCTGTGGACTGCAGAGGACAGCAGGCATAGGTTCTCTGAGGGTAGTGCCCACTGGTCTGACAACAAATCCAACCCTGAATGGGGCATGACTCAGGGCTGGCGGGTGTGGCTGGCGCACGCTGCCTTACCTGCCACAGCCCCAGGCACATGGGCATGCCTGGCTTGGCATCTGCCTCCGGCTTCAGGGTGCACACTGACGTCTTGGATGGCATCTCCAGAATCTGAACCTGACAGTGAGAAAACAAGCTGATTTGGGCTGATGCCAAGTCGAGTCTCTGCTATACAAACAAGAGACGTTTAAGGCGATTAGCCAAGGCTGCTACAAGTTTCTGTCTGCTCCCCTCCCCGCAGGAACCTGAGCACAGAGCCTCCTAATTAGTTTGCACAGGCTAGAGGGCTTGGATGCTGCTGTAGTCCTTGCGAAACAAATACTCCCATCATTCCTGAGTGACCAGTCTCTCACTAGCAAGGAGCTACCTCAGGCCTTTCTCCATTTTGCCATCTAGGCAAAGCAGGCCTGTCTCGCTGGGTCCTGTATAATCCAGTCACTCTCCCTCCTCTGCTTGTCTCTTGTAGTCCTAGGTAGGATTTACACAGAACCCTCTTTGAACAATCTCAGACACGTGAAATGATGCAAAGCCTTGTGTAGAAGGCCTGGGACCCACCACCCACTTAGGAAATGAATTGTCCAGAGTCAAGGCCAGCTCCACTGAATCTTGGCTTCCCAGTACTCAGGTGCCTGCCTGCCTTGCCTATCCAGATATCAGGCCCTTCTGTGCCTGAACTTGGAGATGGGCCTTGTGGCCCACATGGACAAGTCTGCCATGTTGGCTTGTCAATCTGAGTGGGCTACCTGTCTGCTGAATAGCACTATCCTTAGGAAATGGCCAAGCCACAAAGAGAAGACTGGATTGGGTCCCCAGATGTCCTATATCTACTAAGGTGCTAGATGCCCTCATGCATTTGGGAAGATTAGACATCGCTCTTGTGTGTGAAATGGAGCAGAATGTCCCCACAAGACATGCAAGCAAGATGCTCCTCTATCTTCTGTCTACCCAGAAGACACTGGGAACTGAAGGGGTCTGGAGTCCTGACCTTCTCTTGGTATCAGCAAGAGCAGCTCTCTGTGACAACATGGCAAGAGCACTGATATACAACCACTTGACAGAAAACCAACATGCCTAGCATGCCCTGGTCTGTATACAGGCATTTTTAGAGGCTGGGGGTATCAATTAGCCAACATACACCAAGAATGTGGGTCACGCTGGAGAAAATGTCTAACAAGGCAGAGCTTGGACAGGTAACAGCTGTGTTGCCCTTACCAATCTATGCCAAGAGGCATGATTGGTACATACTACCTACTCTGCCACAGTCACAGTGATGATTCTACATCAACCACCTGAGTCCTGTGGGGCTGGGCCCAAGGCAGCTTCCAGGAGGTGCAAAGAGCCAGGCACACACCCTGGTCCTTCAGTCAAAGTCTTGCTGATATGCCCACTTCTGATAGATGATGGAGCAAGAGTACTGTCTGGTAGGGCACACTCGCTGGGGCACCCACAGTGATTGTGCCTCTAAATGGCCAGGTTGGACACCAGGAATGGCTCACAGCTCTCTGTCCCATCTGTTGCAGAAGGTAAGACTTAGAGCTCCTGCCTTTACATGCATGCACACATGCATACAACATGTACACAAACATACATGTGTACTCACATATGCATGTACATCTACAGAGGGACTTCCAGAAATTGAGGGCCTTGGTGTACTGCCAGCCTGATGGAAGAATCAGCAGAGACACCAATACAGTGACATAATGATATGAACCAAAGCAACAGGAGAGGGTACAAAATTAGGAAGGAGCCACGGCACAGGAAGATGCAGATGGTTTCTGAAGGCTGAATGAGAGTGGGAAAGGCTGCAAACTTGGGGACAGGAGAACAAAGCCTGAATTCTAAAGCTAGCCAAGAGCAAGTCTGGAGGTAAGAAGAGGTGCGGAGGAGCCCCTGGACACTCAGGTCTCCTATGAAGCAAACTGCTCCAGAAGCTCTGGCAGAAAGAAAAAGAACAGGAAAAAAGGTATCTCAAAACCGTGACTCAGCAGCACTGAGCCCAGAGAAATTCAGATAGCCAGGAGATGGTGTCAGGCAGCAGCACCAGGACCCTCTTCTTTCTGTAAGAGCGAACTAACCTATTCCAGGCCTTCTTCCTAAAGGATCAACCATCACAACTGTGTACTGAGCTCTGAGTACAAGACATGGCCAGTAGTGAGCAGTCAGCAGACCAGGACTGAGCTCCAACCCAAACACAGAGGGCAGGAAAGCTGCACTCCACACACGCACATTCCTGGTGGGAGGGGGCATATTATGTAGCAGCATGAGAAGGCATAAATCAGACACAATCTGCACAGTCCACAGGCAAAAACACGGACTGTCCCCACCTGAGAGCTCAGGAAAACCCCATTGTGGCAGTAGAGAGAGGCTGGGTGGAAGGAGCCTTGAAAGGGCTCTTCAGGTCTGTCTAGTAGCCCATGGAGAGCACAGTGACCATCCTACACCGGCAAAGCAGGAGCCCAGGTCAGGGCTGGGGGCCACTTCACCCAGCCTGGTTCCCCAGGCATCTGGGGACTGGAGGAGGAACTCCTGGCCTCCCTGTGCTCAGAGCCTCCTACAGACACTAGAGCCTTCCATCTGACACTCAAATGAAACTTTTGTTTCCAGAGGGAAAAATGCTAGGTTTGGGCAAGTGTGGCCACCCAGACAGGCGAGAGGGGCGGGAGCATGCTCCCAGGCATTGTCTGGGCCCAGGCCAGCAGTGTTCTTCCAGGGCCCAATTTAGGCAGATTCCAGGTTGACTGGAAAACAACCATTTGTCCAGGAAGTACAAAGTCATCAGGATGGCTTCTAAAAATGCAATGCCAGGCTGACAAGATGGCTCAGTGGGTAAAGGCACTTGACACCAAGGCTGATAACCTGAGTTCAATCCCCAAGCCCTACACAGTGAAGAGAGAGAACTGATTCATACAAGTTGTACACATACACACACACAAACACACACACAATAAATAAATACATAAATACATAAATAAATGCAATAAAATTGTTTTTGAAAATATAATGCCACCTGCATTGAGGGCCAGGGCCAGGAAACTGGTTAAAACTGCACAGGTAGCCAGGCATAGTGGCATATGCCTTTAATCCCAGTACTCGGAAGGCAGAAGTAGGCAGATCTCTGTGAGTTCCAGGCCAGCTAGGGTTACAGGGAGACCCTGTCTCAAAACAAACAAACAAACAAACAAAAAACCCCAACAAACCCTACAACCCCACCCCCCACCCCCAAAAAAGAACTGCACAGGGACCTGTGCTCTCCAGGGAGGGAGACCATGCACTGATCAGTGACCTGGGGTGGCTGATGGAGGGCAGCCAGCAGCACAACCCTCAGGGCTGAGCTCCCTCAATGTTAAGGATGGCATCTTGTGTGTCTGTGGCTTGAGATGTGCCGGCACCGCCTGCCCTGCTGTACAGGAGGAAGCAGCTCCCCCATCTCTCACATTAATAAAACTTTTAACAGGTTTTTGGCAAACTGGCAAGAAAAGTATGTGTAGCTCCTAATTGGTGATTTAAATGCAATCATGAACAAATAAATGCCTGTTACTATCTCATTATTTATGAACTAGATCTTCTTGGAGACAAAATGACTTTTCTTGGGTGGGGGCCAAGCCTAGCCCAGTGCACAGGCCTGATCTGCCAGCACCAGAAGGAGCTGCTTCCTAGTGCTGCCGGCTGTGGAGGACTATGAGCCTATAGAGGACAGGGCCGTGGGTGAGAGCCCTCTCCCCTTGCTCTTCTACCTTCAGACCTGGGAGCAACTATCAGGTATACTTTCTGCCACTTGCCACCCTAGTCCATCTCTACCTCCCTGCAGCAAGGAGCTCTACCCTCCTGCTCTGTGTTCTCTGCCCTAGCTTCTTCCCCACCCCCCTCCCACGTCCTTTCCTTGGTGGACTCTACTTCCTCTGTCCTTGAGGCATGGTTACCAGTCACCAAACCCTCTAGTCACACCTCTGGTCACTTGTCACCACTTCACAGTAACCTCCCTGCTCCCCTGGAACCCTCTTCTGGGTACAGTGCTACTTACCTGTCTCCCTGGAACTGTGATGGCCACCCTGATATCCTGCCCCTCTAAGCTCATCAGGGCCTAGTTCTCTCACCTACCACTCCCCACAGGCAGCCAAGTATTCTTTAGGCTCCACTCTTAGTCTCCTGAGGGCCTAAGCAGTTTTCTCTGACACTATACTAGTGGCCTTAGGCCTGGACACTTATAGCCCTGAGTAGCCCTCCTCTAAGAAAAGTACTGTGTTGGGTACCAAGGCCCCGCCTGAGCCTTTCCTGATTCTCGCCACTGCTCTAGACAGACAGGACCTCACAAATGACCAGCTGAGGCAGATTGGCTGTGCACAGGCCTCTGGAGCTGCAGTGAAATGCATAAGCCATAGACCTATGTCCAGCAACAAGAGGCCTGTGGCAGGACTGGGTTCTCCTTACTAGGAGGGAGACAAGTGTGCCAAACCCAGTGCCAGTAATGTGTGAAGAAGGGAGTTTGAGAGGGCTGATCCTTACCTCATCACTGCCCTTCCCTGGCACAGCAAGCATCCAGCGTGGCTGTCCCCCTGCCAGGATAGAGCCTCTGCAGAAGCCCACATTCTCCAGCTGAACAGAGTCCATGATGGTGTTCCTGCCCTCTGCTATGTCCCACAGGCACAGTTGTAGGTCCCGGCCCTGGCTGATGGAGCAAGTGGAGGGGTCTGTGAGGCCTTGTGAACATACGTGCTCCCACCTGGATTGGCATCTGGTCCATAACACCTCAAGGCCAAAGATGGCCACCTTCCTGGAGGATAGCCAGGTGAGCTTGAGCTTTGTATCATCCAGGTTGGAGGTCTCACTGAGGATGGTTTCTTCCTCAATGTTCAGAGCTGAGCTGGCATCCAAGGCACTGAGGCCAGGGCATATAGTAGACTGAGGACATGGACACTGAGGCACGTGCCTATGACCTGCCTTCCTCAGGCCTCCTGTTGCTCTTGTGCCACTAAAGCACACTCAGTACTCCTTCCTTCTCTCTGTGAGCTGTCTTTATGACCCAGAAGTCCCACTCAAGTTTCTTTCAGAGTATTTGAGGCCTACATTCACTCAAAATGCCACACAAGAATGTTGACAACAGTCCTCTGTGTCATCGGCCAAGCTGGAAACAACCCAGCTGCCCTTCAACAGAAGAACAGCCAAGCACGCTATGCCACACGGCACCAGTCAGCAAGGGAAGGTACCGACTGCTGACACATGCAACAGCCTGAAGGAAGCTTAGCCATGATTTGCTAAGTGAAAGCCAGATCCGAAGGTTCTACAGTGTATGACTCCACTCCTGTGACATTCTAGAAAAGGCATGAACACGGAGATGGAGAGCCATGAGAGAACTGACCACAGGAGCTAGTTCTGGGCTCTGTGGGATGATAGGCTGCTTCATGTGGCCCTGAGGAAATTGGCATATGATTGTGCTGCACCAAACCCACAGATCCATAGACACAGAGTGACTGTCACTGTGAACACTGAAAACAGTTCCCAGCCAGCTGAGCAGGAGCCAAGTGCCTGGGAGGGACTGCATTATGAGTATGTGGATGACAAGCTACACTGGGGCAGTGGTGGGAAGTACAGAGAGAAGCTGACCTGAGACACATGGAGAAGTGCTGACTGTAAGATGTGTAAAGATACACATCTGCAGAAACTGGCTCAGGAGGTGTCGAGATTCTCACAGGCAGTGGTTCTGCTGCCTCTGAGCATGTCTACCAGTGGAGCAAACACAGGAGCCAATAGGATATGGGGAGTCTTCTTCCTTCCCAAAGAGCTGTGTCAAAGAAGCCAGAGAGCAGACAGGGATGTGGGTTGTGTCATAACCCAGAGGTCAGTGTAAACACTTATGTGGCCATACATGTGCAGATAGGACACAGGGTTGAATATAGATAAGTGTGGCAGTACAGGCAGTATGGGCCCAGATGTTTCTCTTCAACCCCCCTGGATGGCACCCAGAAGCCATGAGCCACCTGGTTTGTGGCTGAGCACAACAGCCAGGTTGCACATTTCTGAAGAAATGTTGATTCTAGGGCTGGAGTAAAAGGGAAAACCAAGATGGGGTTTGAGTATCTTGCAGTGTTGGAAAGTAAGAAGCACTTAACAAAAAAAAAAAAAAAAAAAAAAAAAAAAAAAAAAAAAAAAAAAAGAAAAGAAAAGAAAAGAAATATAAGGTCTTTCAGCCATGAAGCTAGGACAGTCTTAGAAATGCATATTGGTAGTGTTAGAGGAAATCTCTGAGCCCTTATAAGTGAATGGGGAAGCAGGACACCTCTTCCTCACAGGTTCCTCAGGTCCCATTAAAGCAAGATTCCACCAATAGGAGAGAAAGGAGGAAAAAGGGAAAGAGTCCCATGGGAACACAACTGCTGCAGGCAGAAGTCACTGCTAGAGGCTAACAGCAGTGGGAGAAGCCAGGCATGATTAGCCCAGGATTGGCGTGTCCCCCGAACTTCCTAGGGTCTGTGTTGGTTTTAATAGGCACACATGTTCTTGAACCCCCTCCCTTCTATTAAGTAGAGCTTAGCTCTCCTCCTGAGTATGGGTCTGACCTTATGACCTGCATCTGAGGAATCTAGGAAATAGTATGGGCTAAGGATCTCCTTTCAAAATGTGTATGATTACAAGTATTCAGATATTTTCAGAATTTGGAATAGTTCCATAAACTTTGCCAGTTTAACCTCCCTAATTTGGAAATAGGAAATGTGAAATGCTCCAAAATCCAAAACTTTATTAGAGCTGACATGACACTCAAAAACTTTCAGATTAGAATGTCAATAGTAGACCCCAGTGGGCACCTCTCACCTGAGTGACGCAGGCCCTTACCTGCAAGGAATCATGGGGACTCATGTACTTCCAATACCACAAGGTTAAAGGGGCAGTCACCACACTGGGCTTCATCCCCAAACCCAGGGCCCCAGTTTTGCCCTGAACCTGGGGGTACTTTACCGGGCACCTGAGAAATACTGAGGTCATGAGACATGGTGACTAGAGAACAGATCCTAGAGCAGAGGGGATGCTGAAGCCCACACTCTGCAGATAGCACTTCTTTTCCTGTTTGTGACCTTGGATGCTAATGCCAATAGGGCTGAATCTGGGCATGGGAGGCAGAGAATGAAATGGATGATGGGACAGCAAACCTTTGCTGTGTAAAAACAGAGCCCACACTGTACACCAGTAGCAGGTTCCAGAGGAACTATGGGATCTAAAAGAAGCAATGGTGAGCTCTGGACCTAGACAAGGGTGTCCACATCTCAGCACAAGACCCAGAGCCTGACCACATGGGGAAGGCCTAGCCAATGTGAGTCAATTACCACAATTACCTTCTGTAGGAGAGATAATCTGTAATAGAAGAATACTGATACTGTCTATAATATAAAACTCTCTATATCAGCAAGAAAAAAGCAAGCCAACAGAGAAACAGAGATTAGTGATGATTAAGAAAGCCCACTTTGTAGCCCAAACAGCCTCAAACTCATGGCAATCCTCCTGCTCATCTTCCTGTACACTGGGACCACAGGTGTGTATTACTTCACTGGTAGTCTGGTTTGTGTTTTTGTTTTTAAGCTAGGAAAAAAACATAAAACTCTACTTTTTCGGGGCTGGAGAGATGGCTCAGTTGTTAAGAGCACTGGCTGCTCTTGCAGAGGACCCAGGTTCAATTCCCAGTACCCACCTGGCAGTTAACATCTGTCTGTAACTCCAGTTCCAAGGAAATCTGAAGCCTTCTTGACCTCCACAGGAATTGCATGACATGGGTACACTTATATGCATTCAAGCAATATACTCATACACATAAAATAAAAATAAAATATTTTTTTTAAAAAAAACTATACTTTTTCCTCAGGAAGTAGAGGCAGGCGGATCTCTGTGAGTTCAAGGCCAGCCTGGTCTACATAGTGAGTTCCAGGACAGCTGGGGCTACAGGGAGACCCTGTCTCAAAAACACCAAAAAAAAAAACCAAACCAAACCAAAACAAAAAAGCCTATACTTTTTCAAGACACACATCAAGAAGCACAAGTCTTAGTTTGCCCCCTGGCTCCAGGGTAGGTAGGGCTATATTGCTGTCCTTCTTGACCAGGCATTGGTTACTCAGGTGCTTCAAGAGTCTACATAATCACTTCTCCACTCTCCTGTAAATATGTTGTTCAACAATGACAAAGGTAAAGAAATTCTAGCTGGTGAAACTACTGTGGCCCAGGTGCAAGTAGGGCTGGGGGTCCTCCAGCCCCACTAGATAATAAAGCACATAGCCCTTTCTAGGGCCTCTTGGCGAAAGCTGGTCCCAAACACAGCTGAGCCCAGGCAGCTTTGGTGGGCTGTAGTCTCTAGTGCAGCACAAACGCACCTGGGCATTCCACACCTGCAGCCCCTACTGTAGCCCTGACCCTCAGTGGGAACTGCAGGAGGGGCTGCTGCTGCACTATCCTGGTTGGGAGATGATAGTGTGATTACATAAGCGCCCACCCCAGGCTGCCCTCTACACCTCCTGCCCTCTACACCTTGGCTTGGTCCTAGGCCTATGATCAAAGCCATACAAGAGTCTGGGTCTGGTGGGGAGGGGCTCCTGAGGGCTGAACTCTCAGTGGAAGAGTAAGCAACCCTGGTTGCAAATGCCATTCATTGGACCATCAAGAGAAGACCCAAAGCACACAGGCTCTGTTCCAAGGACAGGGTGAGGGCAGTCTGGCTGGGAAGGAAGAAAGGCCAGGGAGATTCTGAAAGACACAGAGCCAGGGCCTCTCCCTTCCTCAGTCACCTGCCATTCATCTTTGAGGTAGTGGGGCCATGTTAATTGACATGAAATGGCTCTATAAGCTGTCAGAGGTTGGATGAGCCTTGTCCTCCAGGTACTGGACCTCACAAGGTTCATGTGTCCCAAGCACCAAATCTGGAGTGGGAGGAGAGGCCTATTCTAGAGTTCTGGGCTACAGAGGTACAACCTACCAATGCCCTATACATGAAGGGTGCCAAGTCCCAGGAGGTGGCAGCAGCCCATGCTGGCAGGGGCTGCATAGGAGGCAGCCTAGTAGGTTCCTGCACTGGTGGCAGCAGTCTCCATTGGGACAGATGGCCTGTGACCAGGGACAGTAGCCTGCTCTGGCAGCCAGGTAGTTCTGGAGGGCTCATAGACAACTGCCAGCACACCTCCTTGTCCCTACCATGTCTTTCCTTTCCCCATGGGAAGGAGGGAAGTCTTCGCTCATCTGTCCCTTCCTGGTCTACTTGGTGTCCCTGGCACCATCACCCCCAGAAAGTGACAGCCTCAGTCAACTACCAGAGCCGTCCTGGCCTCAGGACCTATGTGGGCTGCCCAGCTCAAGGTTCAACATGACAGAAGCTGGACTTTGTAGCCTCAGCAGATGTAGGTCCTCCACTGAGTGAGAAGCCCCATCTCTGCTGACACCACAGGCAAGCTGGGTAAGCATCAGGCTCTTGTCATCAGTTACAAGGAGGAGGACCAGCAGCCAGCACACCCTACACAGGCTGCCTCAGGACAGTTCAACAGTACCAGGAACCATCGTAGAGCCCCAGACCAGGGCAGTGAACACCTCCACAGGGACCAGCCATCCCAGGGTGCCCTTCCAGCTAGAGCAGCCTAGATAAGCAATGTCCAGGTGATTGGAATAGAAATAGAAAAAAGACACATATATGCACCTACTCACCGACTCACACATGCCCTCTCATACACACCCACATACTCACCCACACATCTCTCTCTCTCTCTCTCTCTCTCTCTCTCTCTCTCTCTCTCTCTCTCTCTCTCTCTCTCACACACACACACACACACACACACACACACACACACACACACACAGAGCTACTCAAAGCCTTGGAGGAAGGAGAGTGGCTGTCAAGAGACACTGCCAGGCCATGGAAACCCACTTATCACTACACCTACCTGAGAAGCAAGTTGGCACTTATATAAACAGTTACAACCCAGGGAAGGGTCACATGACCAGGGCTCCATCTCTGAGAGCCTCAGCTTTCAATCTATGGTCTGCTGTGCCCACCTGATTCCATGCTGAGTTCTTGATCTCCGAGCCCTGTTTCATTTACTCCTGTCTCCTTAGCACACCTCTGTCCATCTGTAAGCCACAGCCCAATTCCTCCCATTACTCCCCTGCTGGGCTGGCAGGAACCACTTCAGATGTCACACCAGTCCTAAGGTAGCACCTACCAAGGCCTGCCTCAGAGAACTTGAAGGGTCCCAGGGAAAATGGTGATTCCATCTGGCTGAGGTCAGAGCTGCCTGCCTCCCCAAAGACAGAACTGGCCCTGCACCCTACATGAACTGTGGTCAAGCTGGTCAGATACCCCCAGCCCCTTCAGGTCACTACCATTCTGCCCCGGAAGCCAGGAAGAACCAGAAGGGCCTATCAAAGAGCAAACCTCCCCTCTGCTGCTAGGACCCACCTGAGGAGCTGGTGCCCCTGGGGCAGTGTCTGAAGCCAGGTCACACTCTGGCCCCCATGGCCATTTAGGGTGGCAACTGCTCTCCGAGTCTGTAGGCTCCAGATGTGCACCAGGCCACTCTGAGACCTGTTGGAAAGGAGTTGGGCACAGGTAGGGATAGGGGCTACTGTCAGAGGACATCATGAGCTCATTTCCAGGTTGACCCCACACAGAGCTGATGAATGCAGGTGCTTTGGCTGGAGAAGACTTTTTAAAAAATATCTTTTATTTTAATATTTTTTATACCTTCAGTCGAGTTGTTGGCTAGGATAGATAAAGGCTCTTCCAGACAGTAACCCAACATACTACTGGAAAAATGAACAGCAGACCCCAATTCTATCC